CCTCATCATTAGCTTTTTGTTCGTACTTTCATTAAAATGATCCTCGCAACAAAAAACATTGATTTTGATTTAGGAACATCACGTCTAGCTGCTTTGAACCCTAAAACTTTACGTGCGTAATCATGGGGAACGGTTAGAAAGAGTTTGTTTGGAGCACTTATTGAGGTTTTCTTGCATCCTGGCACAAAACACCACTTATTTTGTGATCCATACATGTCACTATTCTCCATTATCCAAGATAATAATAATTAATAAAATAATGATAATCACAATAACTTAAATAATAAAACAAAGCTGCGAAACACCAAAATAAACAAGAGACACTTTGTTGACATGACCTGCTACGTCACAATCGGGATAGGCAACCGACGATACGGATTCGGCGTTTTTGGCGGAAAATATCTGATTTGAATCTAAATTCGCTTTAAAATTATTATTGACTTTTTTGCAAAAAAAATATATCACCGTAATGTTGCCATAACTACTTTCTATATATCAACATTAAAAAAAAGTGAGAACACCCTATTGAGAGAAGCAATATCTCTTAAACAATGTTACTTGCGACTTTACAGTACTTCGCGTTAGCTGCAGCTTTCATGTTTCAGTTATTGTACCTGTCGCTCTTTATTTTACAAATTTCAGGCAATAACCTGTATTCGGAAATGAATTCTGGGCAAAATTATTTATGTTGAAGAGGTAGTTGACAGAAGCAACTTTCTCAACTTCGGGGAACTGAAAAACTTTTCTCCCACGTGCTTTCATTGCGGCAACCACAATATTATAAAAAAGAACGCAAATCGGCAAGAAGCTCATTTCATTTATCGGGGTAGAACCCGACACTTCATCTGCACGTTATGCTTCGACTACCTTGTTAAACACTACCAAGAAGAACTCTTTGATCACGGGTTTACAATCAGCGAATTTGAGCTGTGCGGCAAAATTAAGTACGAGTGTAAATGGCCCGCTTGCAAGAAGATATTCGGCTGTTCCAGCCTGAAGTTTCACGAAATCAGCTGCACAGTGCAACCGAAACGCGAATGTCCAGTGGATGGTTGCAATTGGTCCGGTAGACTGGATGAAATGCAGAGTGAACACTTTAAAACTCACGAAAACAGCATGTTGATCTTCCGCAACGTGATTAAATGTCTGACATCTGGCTCCGATTTCTATATGCTGATTCTCGGCAAGTTTGTGCTGGTTCGTTACGTAAGGGAGGAGTTCGGGGAGGTCTTCCAGCACGATTTTACTCTGAAATTGAGCGAAGAGGTGCAGACAGATACGAAACTATTTGGTTTCGTCACGTTCGATTCGGATTGGGACCGGAAACTCCCATTGCAGCAGATTGAAGGCAACTGCTCTGTGAGAAGCATTAGAAGGAAAATTGAGCTGTTTGAGTGTAAAACAAAAAATTAAAGTTCAACATATTCAAAATATACAAACAGAAACGGTCATCCCAATGAAAACTTCAATATCAAAAGCAGCATTATTATTCCTAAATATATTTACAATATTTTAAGTAAAGTTAGGTATAATGTGATTTTTGTGAAATATTAAATCAATAAAATATGAAATTCACTCACCCCATGTAACCAATCGAATGTCGCTGCCAAGTCCAATTTTCATATAGCCGATAGGCACCAACCCCCCCTTATCAAACGTTGAAAATACCGTAGAATCAGTTCCATGATGAGTTTTTCCCGCTGAATTTGCTTGAAAATGCTACAACCCCAAACGGCATAAAACATTTTTTTAAGACAATGTGAGGCCGAAAACCTATTAAAGAATGCATTTAAAACAAACCTACAAGCACGTTTTGGGAATTATCATGTTTTACCTGCAGATTTCTACTCTTTATTGGGCAGGCTGAAAATACACACTGATTATCGTCATCGCCTCAAACATTCCAGACCCTAAAGGGAAACTCACAAATTCACTTACTATAGTGGCAAATTTTATTTAATACCAGTACACTGTTATATCATAGGTATAATAAACTAGGAATTCTCAATACAATTCTGCAAAAGATCCCTATACAACCCCTTGCTCATCGCGTCCAGGTGGACTACCCAGATAGCCCAAAATATTACATACATATTTAGGAAATATTTATATGTTTGCTAAATATTTCAGATCAAAAGCAAATATTTCTTAAATATTATTTTT